CGCGCTCCCCCCGCTGCCCCTTACCAGGTGCCGCCCCAAGCATGTGCTTGGGTGCCTGGTGCCTGGAGCCGGCCCTGAGTGTGGTCTTGTGAGCAGAGCAGTACAGTGGAAGTCAGGATCCCTGGCTTTTTTCCCCAGCTCCACCTGTCTGTCTTGCTTATATTTTTGTGCTTCCACCCATCACCCTAGTAGCTGAGCATATAAAATAGATGAGCGATAGCATGGTTCCTAGTCAACACCATGGAATCTCTGGTTCATCTCCCTGTTCAGGTTATAGGAAGCTCAGTTTAAGGACAACTGTGCCACTGCTTCAATGTGTGACCTTGAGAAAGTCACTTAACTGCTCTCCACTTCATCTTACCCATCTGTAAAGGGCAAGTAAAAATAGACACAATGGTGCTGTGAAGTGTCCCTTATCAGAGGTTGTAAAATGCTTGGAGATCCAGAAAGAATCACCCTGTCTAAATGCAAAATATTCTGCTTTCTCAGGTCTGCTTAAGTTACCTTCACTAGATGACATGATGGCCGACATTGCCAAGAAGATAAAGGAGAATGAGAAACGGTAGGAGACTATTATATAGAATGATAAAATGTTGATCATGGTGAGCACTGGGGACCAAGGCAACCGTTGCTTCTTTGTGTAATGCATCTGTGTATCTCTGCCTCCCCCTAGTGGCTGGACTGTCTAAAGAGGTTTGAGTTTCTTCCTACCTACAAGCTAAGGCATGCGGTCCTTTGATTCAAGTAGTAGAGCCTTTTGGTTTAGGTTCCCTGGTTCAATCCCTACAGATGGACCTGCCCAGGCGTATTGTGTGTCTCTCACTAGTGCTGCTCTTTTCCAGCACCCGTGCAGAATCCCTACAACTGCTGCACAGTGTCAGAATTTGGGTTTTGTATTGCCCATGACTGACTGGTGCTATTATTAGCTATCAAGTGCCAAACAAATAAAAATTTGCTTCAGCTTGGTCATACACTAGGAAAAAAAGGAGGAGGAGGAAGATACCCAGATCTCTACTTCTGTGTGCCCCAGGAAGGAAATTTGGATATGCTGTGGTGGCGTATGTTAATCTTCTGAGGACTCAGGACCCAGAGACTGGTTGATAGCGGTTTAGAGCCTGATTCTCATCTTGCTTACGCTGCTTTTACTCCAGTGTCAGTCCATTGACCTCAATGGCGTTACTCCTGATTCACACCAAAGAAAATGAGAAGAAAATCAGGCCCAATCTGTTAAGCGTTAAGTGCTGATATACAGAGATGCACGGAGGAAGCCATTTCCAGTGCTCCGTATGTTTTATTGAGCCTATAAAACAAAAGAGCTACATATTCTTGAGCGCCACCTAGTGGCACCTCACTTATTAACTGACTATTTACTAGAGTTGGCCAGAAATATTTCGACAAAACAGATTTTCATCGGAAAATTCAGATTAATCAAAACTGAAACTTCACCAAAAGTGTAGCAGTTTCAATGAAAAGTTCATCAGGAAGTTTTCTCAGCTCCAGGATGGCACTTACAGTGAAAAGAGCCCAGGATAGCCAATAGCCCTGTGATCTCCTAACCTGAGATGCAGGAGACTCAGATTCAAACACCTGCCCTGTCTGATTTGGAACAGGGAGTTGAACATGGCTTACCATAACCTCTTTATTCCATGCGGAACATAGGGCCTTCACCACTGCCTTCCATCTTTGGCAATCTCCTTCTGCAGTCTTAGTGTCTTCCTCTGTCATTTTAATGACTTTCAGTTCTGCTCCTGTTGTGTGTTTCCAAGTTGCAATTAGATATCTCTTTGCTTCTTGTCTGGAGATCTCAGTCCAGTGCCTATCTTGTTATTTTATTCAGTCCTTTCCCCATATGTGTCCTAACTAGCTCCATTTTGTAACATAATTTTCTGTCCTATCAGTTTCTGTTTCATCCTCCTCCAAAACTCTTCATTTGTTAATTTTTTTTCTGGCCATCTGATATTAAGGATTTGTTTAAGGCAGCTGTTTATAAATATTTGGAGTTTAGCTAGTAGGGTCGTGATAAGTCTCCAAGTTTCAGCACAATAGACTAAGACAGGCTTTACAGTGGTGTTAAATATTCAGAGTTTAGTTCCGAGGGCAAGGTTTCTATTTCTTCAGATCGGCTTTAGAGTTGCGAAGGCATAACTGGCTTTTGCTGTTTTAGGTTAATGGTTTAATGTCCTTAGCTGTTCCACCTGTTTTGCGTACAATGCTGCCAAGATACATGAAGTGTCAGACATCCCCTCTCAATCCCAGAAAGTGCCATTTCTGTTGTGTATTGATTCTTGTGATTTTCATTTTCTCTGTGTTGATTTTCAGTCCTACTAACTACACATAGGCCGAAGAGCATGTGTTTAAACTTACATATCTCTGTGGACATGGGATCACAGGTTGATATTGCCTGCAAAAATTAAGGTCTTGTAGGTTCTAGGAGAAAGTCCATAGTGTATCCATTGGTGGTTCTGTTTTCTTTCTTACTACCCAATCTGTTATCAGTAGCAAGATCATGGGTGACATAAGACATCCTTGTCTAATGCTGGCAGTTACTTTGAATGGCTTGGCCAATTTGCTGTTGTATATTACCTGACATGTCGTATTTTCATAGAAGCACTGATATTCACAATTTGCTGGGGGACTCCATAGTGGCATAGCAACTTCTCAAAGATGTTCTGTCCACTGTGTCAAAGACTTTTTGGAAATCTATTAAACTCACATAGAGTGGTGACTACCATTCAATCAACAGTTGTATGATGAGCCATAGGATTACTATTCGATCTATGCGTGATTTCTCCTGTCCGAACCCTGCCTGTTGTCATAGCCCTGACTCTATTGCTTTCTTTAGTCTGTCTTGGATAATGAATGTAAGTATTTATTTGGGTTGGACAGCAACTGAATGTCTCTCCAGTTTTTTGACTGACTGAGGTCGCCTTTCTTTGGCAACTTGACTATATGATCACTTTCCCGCTCATTTTGGTAATTTTTCTTCTTCCCATATCTTTTATAAGAGCCTATCAAAATGTCTAGAGTATTCTTTAAATCTGCCTTGAAGACCCCTGCTGGGATTTTGTCTGGACCTAGTGCCTTTCCACTTCTTAACCAATTGTCTGCTGTCTATACTTCTAACCTAATTGTCAGGGTAGTTAAGCACTGGAATAAATTGCCCAGGGAGGTTGTGGAATCTCCATCATGGGAGATTTTTAAGAGGAGGTTAGATAAACATCTGTCAGGGATGGTCTAGATAATACTTAGTCCTGCCATGAGTGCAAGGGAGTGGATTATATGACCGCTCAAGGTCCCTTCCAGTCCTATGTTTCTATGATTCTATTCTAGTGATAAGTCCTAATTCAGATGTTCCTCTACATCTGTGGGGTTAACCACTGGCTCGCCATTCAGTAATTCACCTAAGTACCACCTCCATATATTGAATTGTTCTGCTGTTTGTGGTTAAGTTACCCTCACTGTCTTGGACTAGTTAGTTGGTATCTGTTTTTCTGACTGACAATGTCTAGTGCAGAGATTCTCAAACTGTGGTCCGTGGACCACCAGTGGTCCTCAAGCTCCATTCAGGTGGTCCACGGATAGTTCCCTCTAAGGTGTGTGCCTGGGAGGCTGCACATGGGACAATGAAGGGCCACCCACCTAATTAGTGGAGCCACGCAGACGTGGCTCCACCAATTAGATGCCTGGATCCTGGAGAAGACGCACATGTAAGGTAAGGTGGTGGCCTTAGGGGGAATACGGGGTAGGTGGGATGGGGCAGTGGTGTGAGAAGAGGAGGTGGGGAGAATTTGAGATGTGCAGGGCTGCGGCGGCCAGAGAAAGAGGCAACTTTCCCCAGCTCCAGGGCTGTAGCTGCCTGGGAGAGACGGCCCTCCTTCCCAGCCTCAGCTCTATGGCTGCTGTGGTGGGGGAGAAACCCCCCTCCTTCCCAGCCCCAGCTTGGGGGCTGCTGTGGCAGGGGAGAGAGGGCACATCCATCGCATTAGAAAGGTAAGACTACTGATATTAAAATATGAGTTTGTGCTTTTATTTGTAGAACAAAAAATATTTTTTATTACATTTTTATTAATTATTATTAAGGTTTTTTTATATAGCACTTTTATCCAAAGCGTTTTACAATAGTTAGCTAACGGTACAAACATTTGGAAAGATCATTAAGTGGTCTGCCGAGACCCTCAACAATTTTCAAGTGGTCAGTGGAAAAAAAAGTTTGAGAACCACTGGTCTAGTGATATCGTACAGTGTCTGCATGTTATTTTGTGCCACTGTTGCCATTTTGTGTCTCAAATCTCGTTTGTCTTTCTTGGCACTCTTTTTGATTTCTTTGTTCTTCATGGCATGTTCCTCCCGAAGTTGCTGTTTCTGTATTTTTGTTCTTGCTTGATTTAGTTTAATTTGACATCTTTCTTTTATTTTCTGCCATGTCTCCTCAGACAGCGATTCGTTGTAGAGTTTCTTCCTGAATCCTGGGTTTTGGCGAAGGTTTCCTTTACATGTTCCCATTTGCCTTCTACTGTTCCGTCATCTTCATTTTCAAGTGCCTAGTATCTGTTTGCTAGCACAAATCTAAACTTTGTACTGCCGTCGGTTTCAAATGAGTGATGTTACAAGTGGGCATCTCTGTTTGGTTCTCTTTTTTTGTCACTTTTATTCTCCAGTTAGCTATCAATGATGCACGGTCCATTCCCATTGCTGCTTCATGCCTGCTATAACATCCTCTAAAGCTCTTCCCCATTTGTACGGAACTGTAATGAGATCTGTTTAACAAGTTATCCTATGACTAGTGAGGAGAGGGAAAATAGTTCCTCCAACAAGCAGGTCATTCATTCCACAAAATCAGCAAATACCTCACCATTTTCACTCATTTCACTGAGGTATTGTTTCCCCATCAGTATTATTCTCCATCCAGAGATCTGAACCGAATCTCCCACATTCCAAGCAAGTGTTCTCACCACTGAGCTACTGGCTATTCTGGGTGGGGAATGAGCGTTCTCATTTTTTTGTAAAACCTATAGAAAGGACTAGTTTTTCATTCTATTGCAGAACACAAACAAATGTTGAAAGCTCTGATTTCTTTTTCGTAAGAAGGAAATTTTGTTTTCCGGCCAGCCCTACTATTCACTTGTATACGGCTATCGCACAACTCTCAAATAAGCAACACTTTCTCCTATCCATTCAGTGGGCTGGAAAAGCAAGCGTCCCGAGGTTTAACAAAGTAGCTTTTCCCTCCTCCTCATAACTACATTAGATAACCAAGCTCATTAAAAAGAAAATGCTCAGCAGTAGGAGTGGGCAGTTTGGTCTTTCTTGCTAGTTACTTAGTTAACGGCTTACTAGTTATTATGGCTTTGTGACATCCACATTTGGGCTGAGATGTAAAGCTGAGGTCCTGCCCATCTATAGTTGTTAAAATCACATGGCACTTTTCACAACAATAGGGGTATTAACTTAGGGGTCCTGCCCAGATGTGAACTGGGGCAGTCCTATTTTGCCTCCTTACCTGTAAATTGAGAAGCAATTAAAGGTCAATGGAGTCTCACCCTTTCCAGGAGGTGTAAGTATGGACCAATGTGTTTATTTTAGAAAGGATAACAGATTAGGCCTTGCTTATGTGAAGTATGCTGGAAGATGCCTGCTCTGTCGGTGACTACTTGTTTAGAAGTTGGTTGTTCTAAGTAACTCAACTGTTTAGTACTGTTTTTGCTAAGGATTTGATTGTCTTCAATTAAAGAAACCCAATTAACTCGAAAATAACATATCTAGCCATGTATTTATAACCACTCTTACATGTAACACCTCAGAGCAGTGGCTGAAAGAAAGGAGAGAAAACTAGTTTGTTCTTCGGTTTTTGCATTTCACATCATGATATGTCTGTCAGTTTCACTGCTTCCATTGCATAGTCAATTAGGACCTGATCCTGCAAAGGATTCATGTTTAATACCATGTCTGCTCAGAGAAGCTACACAGAGTGACGAACAGCATGGCAAGTGTACATGAGCTCACCAACTGAAACAAGTGGCTGGTTGGTGTCTTTTAGGATTGATGAGCTACATGTCTCTGTAAAGGCTCATTGACTGAGATTTCCTGTGGTATAGGTTTTGATCCAAAGCTCATTGAAGTCAGTGTGTGTGTATATTTCCATTAATTTCAGTGGGCTTTGGATCAAGCCCATAATGCGTCCAGTCAGGTGCAAGATGATGCTTGCAGAATGTTTGTTTGATTATTTTGATTGGAACTAGAGAAGAGCCAAATCAGTTCTGGATCTTGTTAAGTTTCACAGCGCACAGAGAAGTTAGATAAAAACATCAAATATTCTTGCTGGAAGGTAGCAATGTAACAAAGCTTTATTTTTAAAAATCTAGGACCATAACACATGAACCCAAAAGCAGAGCGAGACAAAGCAGGCTGCTCCCAAAGGCAGAGAGGCTCAACTCACCCACCTTGTTCTAGTCTGGCTCTTTGCAGACTAATTCTGATCACTTACTTCCCTCAGAACTCCCTACTTGCAAGCAGGACCAGGAAATGCCCCAATGACCCCTGAAATTTAAAATAGTAGATCATAGTTTTCAATAACCCACAGATCTCAACATCTTTATCTCTGGGGAAGGTCAGAGCTGGATCTCATCCTAGTAGTCTCAGACATGTCTGAGTAAACATTCAGCCTCAAACCGATTCCGGTCCATATGGCTTTTCTCCTTTGTCCCAAGGTACATTCCGAGCCAGCACATTACCCTGCAGGTGCAGTACATCGATCATGTGGATGAACTCGCCTCCCTATTGAGCGTGAAACCCAACCTGCTGTTTCTCTTCCTGACGGATCCGAAGCTGGCCCTGGAAGTGCTCTTCGGCCCGTGCACACCAGCCCAGTTCCGTCTGACTGGACCGGGGAAGTGGGATGGTGCTAGGAAGAGCATCCTGACCCAGAGACAACGCATCTTAAAGGCCACAAAAACTCGGGCTCTGAAAACCCACTCTGAGAACGACACCTGCCTGGTCTCCTCTCTGTGCATTAAAATAATGGGCCTGTTCGTTCTTATTGCTGCCATTTGTGCTTATTTTTAAGTATCCATGTGTCGGGCTCCAAGGCCACTGTGCAGCTGCAGAGTGAGAAGAGCCGTAATGTTAAACTGGCCTTTGCTTTGCATCACTATCGCGCTTGCTCTCCATGGCTTATTGTTTGCTTCCTGCTCAAAGCCGCCCGGGCTGGAGGTGTCACGGTAATGTTAGAGGTGAGAACGCTACAAATAGGAGCTTTGCAAGAGTCACCGAATCCATCTTTGGGAACCAGAGAGTGCTGGACTAACCTCCTCACCACCGTATGCCATACTAACCTGCACTTGTTCTCTGTACACTTGGACTTTGAAAATGGTCATCTCCACCTTCTCTCCTCTACACTGTAGCTGCTGAAGAGGAGGCAAAGACCCAAATCCTGATCTCTGTGCAATGGGCTGTGCTCAGGGGAGTCCTTGGGGGTCACAGTAGCCCAGAGGCTACTGTGTCCTCCCCTCCTCCACAGGTGGACTTAGCAACTGGATCCACACTGATCCACCAGCCGTGCCCATTGCAAGTTAGGTCTGGTAGGATCCTCTCAGAGCATGCAGCTAGCTTTAACATCATGCTTTCCATCCATCCCTAACATGCCCACTGGGGAGAAGAAGATATAGGGGCTGGCTATGCAGGTTCTTCATGCACTCTAGGGATCCCAATGCCAGGAGAACCGCTCAGCAAGAGACCTGTGGGTGGTTTCCACTCACTTTCCATGCTGGGGTGGTTCAAAGGGAGCAGAGCAGTGCAAAGAATTTGCCCCAAAGTATTGATTGTGGCTCCTTCACCTTCTTGAAATAAAATGTTCAGCCCTCTGGCTAGATACCACTGCTCTAGGCGCTACGCCAGTATGAGCAACAAGAATGACTGATTGCAGTGTAGTAGCCATGTTGGTCCCAGGGTCTCGCTGAAACAAAGGTAGCTGAGGCAATCCAATAAACACCGTGCCGACCTTGCCTCTCTAATAATGATGGTCTCATTGCAAAATCAAGGGAGATCATGCACTCCACTAGAAGCAACTAGCTTTTCCCCTTAAGCCAAGGGGCTGTGCTACCTTTCATAAAATAGTGGCAGGATCTGCCCTTAGGTTAACAAAAAGTCCCTTGAAAAATAAAAGTTCCTTAGAGAATACATCAGACAAATCGCTGTGACAGGACCCTGGGCTTTAAATTCTACTCCCTTGTTCCCTTAGTTTGGAGGGCTGTGGAATTCTCTAAATTCCCTCCCCCCCCCCCCAATATTCTGGAATTGCTTGCTCTCAGTCAATTAACTAAATCTGTCTGCAAATGGAGAATTAAGTCCCCTCTGCTTTGGGTTTTTATGAGCTAAAGAGAGCCGATGCAAGGAGCCCATTTTTCTGCCTAGTGGCCTAATTTGATCTCAACACTGCAAAATATTTGTTTGAAATGTTTTCTCTTCAGCCTATTGGTGAGGATGTTGGGGTGAGACTATCGCCTTGGTTTCAAAGACAGTTAATCTGCTGTACCCAGGGGTACTGGAATAATTAATTTGTATAGTGTGGGTGCTGAGAGACATTGAACCAAACTGTAAACCCTGTATATGATGGAAACCACAGGGGGTGGAGCAGCATCCCTAGTTCCAGCACCTATGGCTCCACCTGGCAGCACCCAGACTGGCACTCTTTACTTGGACACCGCTTCCATTGGCTTCGGTGGCAGTTTGGTGTGGGTAAGAAGTGCCGGATGTGGGCTGTAATACTGGGGTCTAATTTTAGTTGTTGGGCTTAGAGTGAGGGTATTGGGTGGTATTGATGGCTTGTGAGACACAGGAGGTCAGACTGGATGATCTGGTGGTCCCTTCTGGCCTACAACTCTATAACTCTGATTGGGTCCTTGCCGTTGCTTAGGAAACTATTGTGATGTCACAAAAGATCTTGATGTCAGATGGAGAATAAGCAGCAGTACTGGCTGGATTCTTTCAAAAATTCTGCTTCCATTTACCAACATGTAACCCTATTGATGTCAATGTAGTGATCATCTGGGGGCAGGACTTTGCCACCTGTTTTTATGCAAGTATCTGTTGCCTTGTAGATTGAGATTGAAAAGCCAGAATGAACCACCGTGATCATCTAGTATGACCTCCTATGTAACACAGACCAGAGAACTTCCCTGATACAATTCCCAGAGCATAACTTGAATTAGAGCATAATTTACACATTCAGTTTTGATTTAACTCTTGTAAAATAGGACGCCATAGCTTACAAGCGCAGAATTGTTTCCAAACTAATTATTTTTTCCAAGTTTTCCATATGGCCTCAGTAGCTGTTTAATTGTCTCTATGCACTTTTGTTATCATACGTAAAAAGCTCAGTTCTTTATAACTCAGCTGTATGTATGCCTGGCTGAAATCTGATGTACAATGTCCTGATAACGAAAAGCAATAACTGAGTAGTTTCATCTTGAGCTGGCTATTGTGAACAGCATACAAAACCATGTGTGACCAACCATTATCGACTTCCTGTGCCATCTGTACCAACCTACAAAGAATATCTGTATTAAGCCGGCAGCATGCCAGGAGGCTCACATTGTATTTCTGAAAATAAATATTTCCCAAAACAAATACTTACTTTTTAGCAATTATTTTAAAACCCTACATAAGTGCAACATGAATAATAAGCAGAGAGGTCACTAAATCGGGTGCCTTTTTTAAGTCCTCAAAACGACAAACAAGTCTTTGCTGAAAATGATTTATGAATATAATTCTATTTTGCTTGGCGGGCCCCACTCTTCTGTATGTCAGCTAGCCCCAACTTAGGGAAAAGGAAGCTCTATGAATTTCAGCTTCTTTTTGTATATCACAGCAGTACCTAGGGGCCCCAAGATTGGGTCCCCTGCTGTGCGAAGCAACAACAGCCAGGTCCCACTGTATCAGTTCATCTTTCCTCCACATCTAGCTAGCCCACGCTGGCTATGACTGGCCTCCTCCAGCCACTGGGAGCCATCATGCCCATCTCAGAGCTTGAAGCTTTCTGGGCCAACCGGGATCTTTAAGGGTCTGTCTACAGTGCAGCAGGGAATGAGTCTCCCAGCCCAGGTAGAGCGACTTGCGCTAGCAGCGCTGACGCAGTGCATTAAAAATATCACTATGGCCACTCTGGATCTTGAGCCCACCTGAGCCCCTACTGCTCAGGTCAGGAGCATCCTTACTAGCATTTTTAGCCTGCTAGGTCAGGCCCCCCTAGCACGAGTCTGTCTGCCCAGGTTGGGAGGCTTGCTCTCAGCCACAGTGTAGACACACACTAAGAGGAAGGGAAATGGGCACCAGAAACTTCTGTTCTGCTAACGTTTCCCAGCAGCAATCCGGACATTTCTGAGCACCTCGGATACAACAATGACCAGCACAGCCTGAGAACCTGCATAGAACAGACCAAATGCAGGTGCTAGAGAAGGGGTGTCTGGCTGATTGAGAGAAGAGGGCCAGGTTCCATCCGTGATAGTGACCTACAGGCCATGGTTTCAGTTGGTGGGGAGGGGCTACAAGAAAGGTGGTATGACCTAGGGGCTAGGGCACTGGTCTGACAATGAAGTGAACTGTGTTTTGTTCCTACTCCACCACTGGCTGACCATGGGCAAGTCACTTCACCACCCTCTGCCGCACTTGCCCCATCTGTCAAAGGGGATAATGAGAGTGACCAATATAAAGTGCTTTGAGATTGACGGATATGTGCTATATTCAAACTATCATATTAATGCACACTGCCCACCATCTGCAGCAGAATGTCCCAGCATGTCACTGAGGGGCTAGCTGATCTAGGGCTGAATATGACTGCTACAAAGTAACGAACGTTCAGTTAACTTCCAGCCTCTTATTGGCACGTTCATCTCTCAGTGAACAATCTGAGTCCTGCTAGGCCACTGCTACTCCTGCCTGTTGTTCCTCTTCCTTCCTCATCCTCCTTTAGCTGGTTCTTTCCTTTCCCCATTTCTCCTCTGTTCTTCCCTCTGCACAGCCTTCCCTGAAGCAAATCCCAAGCCGCCACTTGGCTTCTCACCCAGCCCCTTTTGCCCAGGCTAGTTCCTAAAATGAGCAGCAGTGCAGGGTCGCCATTGGGTTTTAGAGCTGTCATGACAATGAGATAATTAGGGGAGGGGGCGTTCACTCCTCTAAGCAATTGGTCCACCTGCCTGCAGACTCAGGCAGCTATTCAGGTTATGGTTGGAAAGTATCTCTGCAGCCAAAAGGGTTAGAAACTTACCTTTTATTTTGTAGTTAAAGTTGAGATTCAAGCAACCTGGATACATCATTGTCAGCCTCAAAAATACCCCCTGCAGGCCAGATACAGAACACCTCTCTGCTATATGAATTGGGTAGGAAGATAGGGCTGTAGCTGAGCTACTATCTTGGCAGGCTCTGAGCACATCAGGGGCAGGAGGAGGCACGGCCAGGTCGTTTTTATACCCTGGGAATTTCTCCACCCCTGCTAAAGTCATTGACGCAGGGGACGCTAGGGTCTCAGCAGCTCCCAAAAGAGGCAGATATAAGCCACTTACCATATACCCCTGCATTGGCCCGGAGCAGTTTCAAAATGTAAAGAAGGAACCGCATTATAAAGCAGATGATGCACCTGAGCTGAGCTATATGGCGAAAAGAAGGGAACAAACCAAGTCTTGTGACACGGGGGAAGATTTCTTGTTCAACGGTGCCCTATATGGTCTTGTGAGCAGAGCAGCAAAATGGAAGTCAGGATCCCTGGCTTTTTTTCCCCAACTTTGCCTGTCTAGCTTATATTTTTGTGCAGCCACCCATCACCCTGAGGCTGAGCACCTCCTATATAAAATAGATGGGTGGTTGCATGGTTCCTAGTCGACTCCATGGAATCTGTGGTTCCTCTTCTTTTTCAGGTTATAGAAAGCTCAGTCTAGGGACAGCTGTGCCACTGCTTTGCTGTGTGACCATGAGAAGGTCACTTAACTACGCTCTGCTTGTTTTTCCCAGCTGTAAAGCACATGTAAAAATTTCCACAAGAGCATTCTAAAGTGTCACTCATTACCAGCTGCAAAATGCTTTGAGAGCTCCAAAGAATCATTCCATGTAACTACAAAATATTCTCATCGCTTGGGTCTGGTTAAGTTACCTCCAGCAGATGTCATGATCACTGACATTGCAAGAAGATGGAGACTATTATACAGACTTATAAAATGTTGACCAGTGTGGACAATGGTCGTAGACCAAACCTTTGCTGCTTTGTGTAATACACTGGCCAAATATCTGTCTCCCCTTAGGGGCTGGACTACCTAAAGAGGTTTGAGTTTGCTGCCGCCTCTAAGCTAAGGCAGGTAGTCCTTTAGCTCAAGGAGTAGAGGCTTTTGTTTTCAGATCCACATGTTCCCAGGTTCAGTCCCTGCAGCTGGACCTGCCCAGCCATATCGGGTGTGTCTCAATATTACTATTCTTTGTCATCACCCAGGTAGAACTCTATAATTTTGCAGTGTCAGAGTTAGGCCTTTATTATCCATAACTGACATTAGATTTCAAAGTGCTAACAGGATAAAGATTTCCCTCAGCCCATCGATATGCTAGGAAAGGAGGAGGCTATGCAAACACCTATTTCTATGATCACCTAGGAAGAAATCTGAATATGCTGTGGTCTATGGTAACTTTCCAAGGCCCTGGGGCCTGGCTATTCATTGATAGACGTACACAGCCTGCTTCTGATCTGACTTACTCCAGTGTCATTCCATTGATTTCATGGGAGTACTCCTGTTTCACAGCCTAGAAACAAGGGGAAGCAGCCCCATACTGCATACAGTACAGGGAGCTATTGTACAGAGCTGCACAGAGGAAGCCATTTACAAGAGCTCCAGATTTTATCGCTCCTATAAAACCCAGGAACTAAACTACCTTTTCTTGAGCACCAGCTACTGCCACTTTTATGTATTAACTATTTACTCCTAGGTGGCTATCGCACATTCTCATAACACACAACACTGCCTCTTATACGTCGGTGTATAGTGCTGCCGGAGCAGTCACCTGAAATCCAGGATAGCGCTACGCTCCGGCACTTCAGAAAGCTGCAGTCCAGCAGCTCTGCCTTGTCATTTCTGAGCCTCAGGCTACGCTGCAGCTGGGGGGTGTTTCCCAGTGCAGGGAGATGAATGCGTGCTAGGGCCAGTCGAGTGTACCAAAAAAAAGTAATTACTTTTAGCAACATCTTAAAAATGTGTGTGTGAGCAAGGTGACTAATAAGCAGAGATCACTAAATGTGGGTGGCTTTTTGAAGTCCCCAAAATGAAAAGAAATCGTTGTTGAAAATGGTTTATTACTAGGAGTCGATTATGCTCAAAGGGTCCCATTCTGTCTTATGTCATCTAACCCCTACTTAGAGGAAGCTCTATTATTTGACTCTTTATTTGTATCATGGGAGTGCCTGGGCCTTCTGAGACTGACACATACTAAAGAGCAAGCCCCTAATCTGAAGAGTTTAAAAGCTACATAAACAAGACAGATGAAGACTAATTGTTTACAGCCATGTCTAGTGATCAATGGCTCCATGTTAGTGATCAATGGCTCCATGTCTAGTTGGCAGCTGGTTTCAAGCGGAGTGCCCCAAGGGTCGGTCCTGGGGCCGGTTTTGTTCAATATCTTCATTAATAATCTGGAGGATGGCGTGGACTGCACTGTCAGCAAGTTTGCAGATGACACTAAACTGAGAGGAGTGGTAGATATGCTGGAGGGTAGGGATAGCATACAGAGGATCCTAGACAAATTAGAGGATTGGGCCAAAAGAAATCTGATGAGGTTCAACAAGGACAAGTGCAGAGTCCTGCACTTAGGATGGAAGAATCCCATGCACTGCTACAGACTAGGGACCGAATGGCTAGGCAGCAGTTCTGCAGAAAAGGACCTAGGGGTTACAGTGGACGAGAAGCTGGATATAAGTCAACAGTGTGCCTTCATTGCCAAGAAGGCTAAGGCATTTTGGGCTGTATAAGTAGGGGCATTGCCAGCAGATCGAGAGACGTGATCATTCCCCTCTATTCGATATTGGTGAGGCCTCATCTGGAGTACTGTGTCCAGTTTTGGGCCCCACACTACAAGAAGGATGTGGAAAAATTGGAAAGAATCTAGCGGAGGACAACAAAAATGATTAGGGGGCTGGAGCACATGACTTATGAGGAGAGGCTGAGGGAACTGGGATTGTTTAGTCTGCAGAAGAGAAGAATGAGGGGGGATTTGATAGCTGCTTTCAACTACCTGAAAGGAGGTTCCAAAGAGGATGGATCTAGACTGTTCCCAGTGGTACCAGATGACAGAACAAGGAGTAATGGTCTCAAGTTGCACTGGGGGAGGTTTAGGTTGGATATTAGGAAAACTTTTTTATTAGGAGGGTGGTGAAGCACTGGAATGGGTTACCTAGGGAGGTGGTGGTGGAATCTCCTTCCTGAGAAGTTTTTAAGGTCAGGCTTGACAAAGCCCTGGCTGTGATGATTTAGTTGGGGATTGGTCCTGCTTTGAGCAGGGGGTTGGACTAGATGACCTCCTGAGCTCCCTTCCAACCCTGGTATTCTATGATTTTATCTGAAGGTGGAGATGATGAAACAGAGGTGAAGTGACTTGCC